CACGCACACACGCACGCACACCGTATAGCGACACCCAGGGGAAGCCCCCAACCTCACTATATAAAGGCCCATGAAAGCTATTCCTAAGCCCAGCTACTCAGAAAGCTAAAACAGGATAATCACAGGTTCCAGGCCAGCTTGGACCATGCAATGTGTGTAAGGTCCACCTGGACATCTTAGGGAAACCCTATCATTAAAGTAAAAACAAAAAAAGATAGCTGGGGATACAGATCAGCCATGAAGTCATCGTCTAACTGGGACCAAGCGCATAGGAGCCAAGTGCACCTGTCCTTGGTTTGCATGTTTCCACAGAAGCTGACTCTTACCCCTTACTTCCTTTTTCCTGCAACAGAATAAGCAAATGCATAGTTTTGGTGGCAGAACCATAAAGCAAACGGTAATAAACCAAAAACAAACCCTTTGCCTGCTGTCCCAGGATACCAACAGTGTTACCTCCCACCTAAGTGGCATCTGCAAAGGTCCACTGGGCAGACACAGACTTGTCTTGTTGGAGTGTTACATCTTTCCACAGGGTGGTTTGAGGGTTATTAAACGCACACCAAGCCTGAGTTCTATCCCTGGAACTGAGACGGTGGAAGGAGAGAAGCCACTCCCTAGAGCTGTCCTTTGACCTCCACACACATGCCATGGCATGTACACACACACATCACCTCACACACATGCTATGTACACAACAATAACAAACAGAGTACATGTTAACTAGCACATGCTCGCCTCGTGTATTTTTCAGCATGTGAGGCAGTCCCCCACACGTGAGCGGGTTCCATTCTACACACAGCTTTACAGTTTGCTTTTCCTTTTCTCCTCAGAGCTCAGCCATCTCCGCAGGGAAACTTTTCTACCCACCCACCAATTTTCTCTTCTGACTTGGAGAACCGGAGGTTCCGACTGTGTGAGTCTGTGTGTGTGGCTCGTGTAGCCATCCCTCTGTCGGCAGATCTCTTCTTCTGTGTTCTATAGAACTCATGACCAAATCCTTGTACACTACTGTGTCCTAGAATAAATGCCCATAAAAGGAGAACCGGAGACTGGGTTACGTTAGCTTCTCATACTTTGGAGTAGTGTGGTGTATTTTCAGTAATGTGCAATTAAGCCAAGGGTTCGCACGCTATGAGCTATGTCAGGACCTCCAGGGGACCACTCTGCTTAAAGCCAGGACAGACAACCGGGCCCCACCCAGACTTACTGAGTGGGTCCAGTCTGGGCCTCCATGTATCTGTGAGGAGACTCCAATGTTGCTGCTGCCGCTGGCCCAGCTGCCACAATGTAAGACTACTTCAGCTAGACCATAGTTCTGCCTTCATGGAGCGGGTGACCGTCTGACCTCCGGAGAAACTGGGACTTGAAGTCAGAATAGATCCCCAGTCCTGCCCCTTCCAGGTGAGCGTCTCAAGCAGAGCTGCTCAGACCATCACCCACTAGAAACCCTGCCTGAAGCTGTTCACCTGCATCTGTCCTCAGAGGGTGAGCCAGTACCTCACAGACTTGATATGGCATGCTTTGGCCTGTCGGAGTGCCCTGAACTCGTGGTCCCTCCCATCTTTCTAGTCGTGTCCAAGACATGACAATTATACCCTCGAAGCCTTACATCTACCCAGTACACTGGTTATTTTACGATAATCTTGCCCACCAGTAAGACTGGGACGTCCATACAGAGCGCCCCTGAACTTGGTGCCACTCAGGCCTGCCAAGCATCGCCGTGTGGTCAGCCCCTGCTGTGGTGCGGTTTGTTTGTGCTTCTTAGCTGCCATATTTTAAACTGCAGGACAGGGTCCCCAGAGTAGGAAGGATAGGCAGTGATGTCCACTATCTCAGCACTAAGGGCAGAGAGGATACGCAATGCCATGCTCTCTCCCCGGGACACAGCCTGTGTGGCATTTACTCTCTGGACCCTGGCCAAGAGTGACTGGCAGCAACTGATCCAAAGTAGCTCTGTGTGAGAGCCGTACTCATGTGACAGGAGAGCCAGGGGAACAGGTCATCTGAGTTCAAGGCGTATATTCAGGCTTGGTGACACTCTCTGCTCTTTTTGAGGTTTCACCTTGAAGTCCTGGGATAAAACTTTCTTCGGTCTCTTCATTGAGCTAACAGTGTGTCCCTTAGAAGTCACGCAGCTGCACAAACCTCCAGGGACCTCGACACACAGGATCTCCTTTCTCCTGGAAAATAGAGACGTCTCAATTCTGTTTCTCAGGAGTGGGTGAGGCTTGGAACAAGTTTAGTTAAGCTAACATTAAGATGTCATTCCCCGTATTTTCACTAGCTGGGGCTTCATGGTTACCAGTAAGTGTCCTGACCGTAGTTCAAGGGGGCAGAGAGTGAGGCCCAAAAGTGGTTTCTGCGCTTTTCTGAGGACTTGGCTGAAAATGAAAGTCCCCGAGTCCCAGGGTCTCTGCTGCTTGTCTGCACTGGTTTCTATATGGCAGCTAGGCTTCTTAAGCCCTACTGTGTGTTGAGCATTGACTTCTGTATGGCTGCTGGTGTGTGGGCTCTCAAGAGCAAGCATCTACAAGCATCTAGGCTTCTTAAGCCCTACCGTGTGTTGAGCATTGACTTCTGTATGGCTGCTGGTGTGTGGGCTCTCAAGAGCAAGCATCTAGGCTTCTTAAGTCCTACTGTGTGTTGAGCAGCTTGGTGAAGGGGGCTGAGCTGGGAGTAGATCTAGAAGACAGGGCCCCCTCCTCTGAGTCAAGTGGACTGATGACAGGCATAAGACAGGGTGAACTGGGCTGCTAATGTGGCAAGGCTGGTGGGTGATAGCGCTAGGATTCCTGGCTCACTCCATCTTCAGAACTACTTACTTTAGAGTCCTGGGATGTTTGTCAAGTGCCTATTAGCTCCTCTCCTATGGATTGATACTTTGTGTCTGTCAAAAATGTACTGCTCTTGTCTCAGGTTTGGGAACTCTCCTCTTCCCATAGTGACAGGAGCAAGTATTACAGATGTGTCTGGAACACATATAAAGATGCTGACAATGCCAGACTTCCTGTGAAGGGGTCATCCTGGGGAGGAAAGTGAAGGCTGAGGAGACAGACATACCCTCTGCTCACAGTGTCCAGGTCACAGAGGACACAGACTGTGGCAGGGTGAGCTCCAGTCCCAGGGTCTAACAGCAGATGCAACCAGGATTATCTGGGCTCTCCTTCATCTCTGGGTGAGCCTTCGGCATGAGCAGCAAGAGTGTACCCCCAAAAGCCTATGCTGACAGTGGGGACTGGCTTTGACATTTCAGTTCAGGGAGCCTAAAAGGTTTCTGACCACACCCCTGAGGCTTGAAGGCCATAGGCTAGCCAGAAGGCCTCAGGAGCCAGGAAGGTTATGACAAGAGGACAGACAGCTCCCTACTGGGACCAGCAGTAGGACAATCTGTCAGTAAGTGAGCAGCAGGCTCTGCCCAAACCCATCTTCAGAGTCTTTCTACATAGGAAATGCGGGGTCTGCGGGCCAGAGCTTGAGCAGGCCCTGGAAGAAGACTCACAGGCCTAAGCAGGAGGCAAGGACAAGGACTGTCCCTAACTGCACTTCCAATAAGTTTGTGGACACTGGTGGGTGGCCGGGAACGGGGGGGTGCGGCAGCCAAATCTGAGGTTTTGTCTTGTGGATTCCCCTTATTCAAGGGAACTTGAACAAAGTCTTAAATAGCAGTCTTTGAGAGTACAAAAATCTCCCAGCCTTGCAAAGGAAGCATTACTGGGTAAACTACACCCCAAAATGGCATGTTCAGTTCCTACCCCAGGAGTCCGTCAATAGCACCTCAGATGTCACCCCACTTGGGACACCAGTCTCTCCAGCTACAACAACCTAGAATAAAATGAGGCTTTGATGGCTTAGGCAGAGCCGGGTAGTATGGGCACACACAGAAAAAGAATAACACCGAGCACACAGCAAGGACCGGAGGGCCATAACTGGGACCTAAGGGTGCTGGAGGTAGTTTCCTTCCGAAGAGCTGCAAACTTGCCAAGCCTGCACAATCAACACACGGGGCTGAAAGAGAACAAATTCCCGTGGTTCTGAGCCCCGAGGACTGAGATGGTGAATATGTAACCTTCATTTTCCAGGGAGGCCCACTGAGGTCAGAGCTGGACATTCAGAGAGGAGCTGGGAGGGGACCAGAGGGCCAGCTTCCATCTGTCCTGTACTGCTCAGATTCCCAGAGTTTCCACTCACACGCCCTCTTCCAGATCCTCCGTCCACCTGTAATGGGAGTCACTCGCTGCTGCCCCAACTGCCCTCCAAGGAACAGCTGGGAGAAGAGGCAACCGGAGACTCCCAGGCTTTGGAGCCCTGGATCACATGCTGCTGGCAGCCACGGGCTCACGCGGTGCCAAGTGCTCGGTTGAGTCGTTGGCACGTCTGGCATTCCGGGTCACTCTCTGTGGGCACGGGTGAGTCACAAAGAAAACGTCACCATCACTCACGTCAGGGTTCCACCAAGGCATCATGCCCGGGGACACAGGAGCCCCTAATACAGACACATGCAGGTAGTTCCTGTCAGCACCCGCAGGCCTGGGGATCACCCTGGGAAGTCACATGCACTCCCTTGTCGCCCGCCCAGCATGCTGTGGTGTCCTTTACAAGCTGCCACAGAAACCAAGGATGGCACCAGGACAGGGAGCCCAGGGCTGCACTTATTTGTAACTAACAGCTAAAGAACATGGGTAGGGGTGGGGAGGGCAGAGGCAGGGGCTAGCACTGTCCTGTGTGTGTGTGTGTGTGTGTGTGTGTGTGTGTGTGTGTGTGTGTAAGAGTGTGACTGTGTGTGCATGTGTGTAAGGAGAGGGTAGGTATGTATGTGTAAATGTGTTGTAAGTATCTGTGAAACTGTATGTGTGTGTGTGTCTATGTGTGTGAAGTAGTAATGTTGTGTGTGCATGAATGTGCTTGTAGGTGCCCGTGCTCGCAGGAAACTGCATAGGAGCCACAAGGGAAGTGGGACTGGGCCAGCTGGGAGACCTTTCTGTTTAAAGTCAGGGAAAGGACAGTGTTGCAGGCTCTGCCACTTTGTGTGGAGTCTGCTGCCCCCTAGAGGACAAGCAGCCAGGGCACTTGGGAAGGCACCAAACTGTAACTAGAAATGAATCCGGTTGCCCTTGGGTGACTGGAGGCTCTGAGTTTCAACAAGGAAGGGCAGATGGGGCGCAGCTCCAGAGGATGGGGTTCCAGAGGAGGTAAGAGGTTGTAGAGGTAGAACGTGGGGTACAAGGTGGGTGTAAGAATGGATGGAGCACAGAAAGGAAAATGGGGGCCCAGGGAGAAGAGTGGGTGCATAGGGGGTAGGGGTCAAGGAGGAGGATGAGAAACAGGGGAGATTATGTGATACAGGGGGCCATGGGGTGTGGGGTCATGGGGTGCGGGGCCATGGGGTGCGGGGCCATGGGGTGCGGGGCGACGGGGTGCGGGGCGACGGGGTGCGGGGCGACGGGGTGCGGGGCGACGGGGTGCGGGGCGACGGGGTGCGGGGCGACGGGGTGCGGGGCGACGGGGTGCGGGGCGACGGGGTGCGGGGCGACGGGGTGCGGGGACGGGTGCGGGGCGACGGGGTGCAGGGAGGACGGGGTGCAGGGAGGACGGGGTGCAGGGAGGACGGGGTGCAGGGAGGACGGGGTGCAGGGAGGACGGGGTGCAGGGAGGACGGGGTGCAGGGAGGATGGGGTGCAGGGAGGATGGGGTGCAGGCTGGGGCAGGGCTTGTCTAATAGTGGGGAGACACAGACGTGCCTTGACCCTGAGCACACACTACAGAGATACCCCTCTGCACCTCCCAATCCAATCTGCCCCTTTCCGGCCTCTGTGATCCCAGGTGCTCTCTGACTCCGAATATTAAAGGACCTGGGGGGTCGGACACCGTATCTCTGTGAACTTCAGTGGGAGTGGATTCGCCTCCGCTGTGTAAGTGTCTAAGAAAAAATGAATGGTGATTCAAAGGAAGCTTCCTTTTGTGGCATTTCCTCAAGTGGTGTGGCTATAGCTCTCGGCCCAGGTGTGGCTCTTGACCTGCTAAGAGAAACAGCCACTCTGGGGCTGCCAGGGCCTAGGAAATGGCTTCTCCATCAGGGCTTCCAGAAGGAAGCACCCCTTGAGAACAATTAGCTCAGCCCAGTGAGACCCATGCCAAACACCAGACTTCCAAAAAAAGTGATGGCTCTCATTAGTAAGACGGCAATTGTTTGTGGGAAGAGGTATCGAGGGAAATGGTTTTTCTCCCGCAATCCTGGGAGAAAGAGGCTTGTGGACCAAAGGAAGCGTGGGGGAAAGATGGAGGCTAGTTTGCCAGCGTTAGCAGTAACTAATTGCAGAGGTGTGCTGAATTCACCTCCCTCCAGCTTGTCTCTGCTGACTGTGGTCATCTGTGAGCGTGTGCCTGTAGTCACACGCCCAATTAGCCAGCGATCCTTTGCCTACATATTCTTGGAGAGGAAAGGGTTTATTTCAGCTTATGATTGTGGTTTATTATTGAGGGGAGACAGGGCAGGAACTTGAGACAGGACCTGAAGCAGGGGCCATGGAGATAAATGCTGCTCACTCGCTGGCTCTCTGTGACTCACTCAACCTGCTTTTTAAAAACACGAGGACCACCAAACACTGTTGGTACCACCCACAGGGAGCTGGGCCCTCTCACGCCCATCACTAACAAAATCCCCACAGGCTTGCCTACAGACTGATCTGATGGGGGCACTTTTGTCAATTGAGGTTCCCTTCACGATGACCCCAGCTTGTGACAAAGCGACAGAAAACTAACCAGCAGGAATAGATTACAAAACTAAAGGGGAGACATGGATGCAAGAAGGGGGACTGTTGTGCAGAAAAGGGGGTTCATTGAGAATGGAGGGGGGATAAGAGGAGTGAGCGTGTTTAAATACTTCATAAATACATATGATGCTATTAAAAAAGATATTTTTAATGAAAAATAGACACGAGAAGAGGGGAGCAGAGCCAAGGCTCTGTGTGATGGAGTTTGAAGACCTCCAGGGTAGATCAAGTCAGTGAAGACGTGCACATCTTTAAGTGGTCCTTCCTTGGGGCGCACGTACTCTCTGGAAAGAAGAATCAACACATGACAAAAGCTAAGAGCCCCAGAAGTATTTGTGTCAGCCATCTTTATGACACAAGTTAAACGTGCCCAGGAATGCTCTGATTTTTCAGATAAGCCTTCATAGCCCCGATCGAGGCAAGCCAAGGGCGCCTCTGCCATCTTTCCTTCTTAAACAATGACCTTGAAGTGAGCATGCTCAGTAGTGTGCATCACAAACTGCGCATGCTCAGGATGTGCTCCCCATCCCACCCCAGTACATTGTTTTCCTAGATGTACACGTGTCAGCTCCAGGAAAAAAGCCTCCAAGCTTCCTTCGTAGGAGAGAGGACTGCTTTAGCAATAACAATATTGCTCCCTTTCGTTGCTGGGAGGAATCCAGTCTTCGCACCATTGACTCCTTGGCTATGCTCGGTTTGGCTTTGCCCTCACCAAGAGGAAAACCCATCGATTTAGTTACAGACCCTGTATATGCAGTGTGCATCTTGTGCAATCTTTTCTCCAAAAAATAGCAAGAGGGGGAAATAAAAACATGTAATTTTTATCTTTTATGTGCATTCAAAAATACCAGGAGCTCATGAACAATTAATCAGAGGGTTTCCTGGGGGCAGTGCGGAAGAGGCTTGTGGAGGAGGTGGGTAAATATGGAAGAGGGAGGGAGCTTTCACAATGTTCCCTTTTTGATGTATTTTTAAACCATGTGAATATGTTACCTATTCAAAAGAATTTTATTTAAATAACAGGCCAAACAAGTTTCTCCAGACCATACCCGGTGGATTTCAGACCTTGAGCCGCCCTGCTCACAGACGGGCCTCTTCTGACTGCCGGGGTTGTCCCCCGGTTCCTTCCTTTGAGGGAAAGAGAAGCGTGGCGGTCAAAGCTGCTGTCCGTACAGTGCACACCACACTGGCCTGCGCGGTGCGGCGCACAGCACCACGCCACTGTAACGCCCACTTACAGGCGGAGCCTGCGGAGACGCAGGGGTGGAGTGAAGTTGAACATGGGTGGAGATAATGGTCCATCGGGCAGGGCGTTGGGCTCACCAAATGGCATGTTAGCATCCTAAGGATGCTCTAGCAAGGTAACAAAAGTTGGGATTTCCTCCAGAAATCTATTCTTTCCTGAAGACTGGAAACATTGACAACATGTGCCCGGTCTTGGAAAGACGGGACATCACTTGCCTCGTCCAACTTCTCATGGCTACGGGCACTTCTGCCCCCACCCCCTGGCTTACAGGAGCATTCTCTAGAGAGGAGAATCCATCTTCACAGTTTTCTGTGCACCTCTGACTTCACATGGTATTTTCTGCACACAGACATCAATACTATCGGATTCAGAGCCCACCCATTTCTATCATGAGCTCTGCTTGACTACGTCTGCAACGACCTTATTTCCAGGTAAAGTCACTTGGCCTGGTTCATTTTGTTGCTGTGATAGAATACTCTGGAAGAAAAAAAAACCCTTCCATTGTAGGGAATTTTAGGCAACATGAATCTGAAGCATCTAGTCATATTCATAGTCAAGAGCAGAAAGAATGAATGTGTGTGTGTGTGTGTGTGTGTGTGTGTGTTCATTATCTACATTTGTACCATCTAGGACTCTCTATGTAGGGAATGCTGTCACCCACAGTGGACTGAGTTCTCCCACATCAGCTAACAATCAAAACAGTCCCTTCACAGGCATGCCCACAGGCTAATCTGGTCTAGAAGATTCCTCATCAACTCTCCGTATCCAGGTGACCCTAGTTGTGTAATGTTGACACCATCACAGCTACACTTGTAGGTGCCAGATTCAGGATGTGAACATATCTCTTCAGGGGGCACGGTTGAGCATGTGACAAAACCTGGAAATGTCACATTCAAGTTGAGTGACTGAGTTGTATTTCACTGTTCTACAATGATAATTTTAAAGAACACAGACAAGGGATGAAATGTCTGTCAGTGAGCCTTCTCTCAAGCAATTGGCAAAATAAAGATTTGAATTACCTCCCCTACAAAAGCTGGTGAGGCTCCCTAATCTGTGAGCTAAACCAAGTCGCCTGCACAGCACAGGCTAACCCAAGGAGGCCATGATTTAAATGCATCTGGACATACCCAGCCACAGTGGGACAGACCAACAAATATCTCCCTGGAACCGTCTAGACCCTGAGAGATCATGTTGTCAAAGAAGCTCAAAAGCCATAAGTAAAATGGCTTGGGACCAGCGGCGAAGCAGGGAGCTGCAACTCTGCCTTCAGGGAAATAAAGACTGGTTTACAGTGAGCCAGTTATGAGTGATTATGGTTTATAGTGAGCCAGGTATGAGCGACTATGGCCTGAGAACATAGATTTTTAGGTTAGCCTGAGTGACGGATCCACCGAGCAAGAAGTGACAATGAACTTTTAGAGCCACAGGGGAAAGTCATAAGTCAATACAGTGTCCTGGTCACTGGAAGGAACATCAGATTGGTGGGTAGCGGCACAGTGAAGAGTCACCTCTGTAGGGTTCGGGTGTACCTGGTGGCATCCTTAGCTTTAGGGTAGGTGAAGCTAGAGGTCTGCCTCACTTAGAGACACCTTCCAAGAAGCTGGTCAACTAGTCATGAAGTTGCTATGTGGGTTCACTCTCTACTAAAGTAGGCTAAAGAGACCCCTGTGTGGTTTGGGCCCAGGTTCTACAGCTTTCCGTTGCTCACAGTCATGACATTCCTGTTGGCCACGGTCAAGCCATCTGCAGGGATCTACTCCACACAGATAACATTCTTCAGTTTACCCCTGGGCTCAGTCCTGCGAGTTCATCGTTCAATTTTAGAAATGCCTTAAAAGCTTAGTGGAAGTTGCAGGAGCTTGATGAGCTCCGCTCCAAGCCTGGGTTATCTGGGATTTACTCAGTTCTCAACAAAATGTTCTGCCCATGATGGACAAGCCATGTGACCCCTGCCTTTCTGCTGAAGGTCAAAGAAGCAAGAAAAGGCAAACAGACACCCGGTGCCCCCAAGTTCCATCTACATACAGCCAGGGATGCTGGGAACTCTTGAAGCAGCATACCAGACGCTCAGCCCAGTGCAAGGATCTCACACACACAAGGACATGGGTACATATGTTTGCATTTCATCAGAATAACGTCAGGATACTGCAGGCCACCATAGCCATAATTGACCTGCCAAAGTCTATCCACTACGGCCACGACTGGCTGGTCAGAGTGAGTTTCATACATACTGCAGGCTGCCGTGCTGGCTACCCCTGCTGTCTCTCTTTCTCCATTTTCTAACTGTAACCATGAACTATGAAGACGGGTCTTTTCTCCACGTGTGTGCCCAAGTCCAGTGAAGCTGGACAAGCCTTGTACTCAGACCTGCAAGTCACACCAGATCTTCACTCAGCAATCCTGCTTTGTCACTTTGACCCCTGAGTACAGACATCACAGCACTGGGGGTTGGGGGGATTGACACTTGTTGGCTTTCTGTTCCCTGGTTAACACCAAGGAAGCGTTCAGAACGGCATCTCACTGGGTTTATACGGGAGGGCTGGCCATGAGTGACAATGCTCGGGCCTGTCGTGCCTGTTCACATGCAAAGGTTTGCTGCCACCTGACTTCCACTTCCCATTTTCCCAGTCAGCCCCGCCCCCCATGCACACACCATATCCCCTACCCAGGGGGCAAGGGGCACTGCGCACAGGAAGTGGCACATTCTCTGGCTTGAGCAGCCCCTCAACATCTCTCTTGGAGGGAGCCCAATTTTCCAACGCTACCCATGCAGATACGCTCTTCCCCAGAACATTCAAGTCCTGTCAGCAGAGCCAGACGACAGCTGACACCTTACAGAGGCGCTCTTTTGTATGGCGGGGACACAGCAGCGTGTGCATAGGAACTTTTCAGTGGAACTCAGCTCTCCTGGAAGCACTGAATATGAGGACTGAGGACGGGCCCATCAGCACCAGAGTCCGTCTTTCTGAACCTGTGGCCAGCCAGTCAGAACACAGACAACTCCCAATAAATAGCCCCCCGGGAGCTGGGGTGCGGGGGTCAGCATGGAGTAATGGTAGACACTCGGAGGCCTGTGCTGCTGATGGGACTAACTGAGGTTGGGCCCCAAATGCAAATCAAAACAACTCTCAGATACCATCTCACTCCTATCAGAATGGCTAAAATCAAAAACACCAATGACAATTTATGCTGGAGAGGATGTGGTGAAAAGGGGACACTCCTCCATTGCTGGTGGGAGTGCCAACTGGTTCAGCCACTTTGGAAATCAGTATGGAGATTCCTCAGAAAAATGGGAATAAACCTACCACAAGACCCAGCAACTCCACTCTTAGGCATATATCCAAAAGATGACCATTTATACAACAAAGATGTCTGTTCCACTATGTTCATAGCAGCTTTATTTGTAATTGCCAGAACTTGGAAGCAACCTAGATGTCCCTCACCTGAAGAGTGGATAGAGAAAATGTGGTACATCTACACAATGGAGTACTATTCAGCAGAAAAAAATAATGGAATCATGAGATTCGCAGGCAAATGGACAACACTAGAAGAAACCATCCTGAGTGAGGTAACCCAGTCACAAAAAGAGAAACATGGCATGTACTCTCTCATATATGGATTTTAGACATAGATCTGGGGAGTGCCAGCCTTCAATCCTATGGCCAGAGAGTCTGGGAAACAGAAACTTTATTTAGTGGCTGATCGAAGAAGAGGCAGACTCCCTTGGTTAAGTACTGAGCTGAACTCAAGAAAGCCAGTAACAGAGAGGGAGGACTGATGATCAAAGGGATTAAGACTGGGCTGGTTTAACCCCCAGAAACAGCTGACCAGACAAAGGTTAACTCTTGAATCCCAGGCATCAGCCTGGGAAGCCAGCATGGGACTGATCAAGACCCCCTGAATCTGGGTGTAAGTGAGGAGGCCTAGGGAATCTATTGAGCCTTGGGCAGCAGATCAGTACCCATCCCAAGTATACACACGGACTTTCGACTCCAATAGAACAATGTGAGATGCACTCTCACCTGAACTCTTGGGGAAGGGTCTAGGCCCTGCCCTATATAAAATGACAGACTATGCACACCCTCATGGAGGGCCTCACCCTCCCTGGGGAAGTGAGGGGATAACGGGGGGGGGCTCGGGAGAAAGGGAGGGAATGGGAGAGGGACCTGGAACTGACTTGTGAAGCAACCTTGTTTCTTATCCAAATTTAAACTGGAAAATAAAATTTAAAAAAAAATTGGTTCCTAGCCAGTAACAAAGGTACAGGAGAAGGGGGAGTAGCTATGATAAAGCTTGAGGAGGACCTTACATGGGGGACCTTGGCGGATTCCATGGCAGGCGAGGGTGATGGGGTGGGAACGGGGGGCGGACATGGCAGGCGGACAGAGTGTAAGTGAGAAGTTTTATTAGAAAGGGGAAGGGAGGGGGAATGAAAGAGAAAAGAGGTAAAGAGACACGGAGACAGAGAGAGGACGGAAGAGAAGAGGGAGACAGGAGAAGACATGTCTGCCCCAGAGGAACCGCAGGAAAGAGAAAAGAGAGGAGAGTGGAAAGAGAGAAGAGAGCAGGAAGGAGAGCGTAAGTGGGCGGGGTCTGTCTTTTAAAGGGTCCTTTGTACCTGCGTGCAGACCACACCACCATGGAACCCTGGGCTGACCAGGGTACTGCCTGAGTGCATTCTGCCAGGTGACGGGGCAGGCCGGCATAGTGCCTGAATCCTTACAGGGGTCACTTTTGGTATCTCAGAGTCAGGAAGAGGAGATGAACAGAGGCCCTCAAGTGCAGCGGGAGAACCCCAGTCCTGCAAGTGCTCTGGTGGCCACTGACCAGCTGAATACCGAGGTGGCCTCACTCTGAGCTGCTCCTGGGGTCCTGCGGGGAGGAGGGTCCTCTGGGTAGGCAGCCCCCTCCCTGAAGTGGAAGAGGTCAACTCACTGAGAGAAGCTGTAGTATTGATATTGTACGTTGTCTGTCCCTCTGGGAAGCCCAGTGAGTAGAGCAGATTTCTCACCCGAGCATGAGAAGTCATGTTGACTGTTCTACAAGAGATACGTGAGCCAGACCTCGGCATGGCGTCTCATCCTGAGCACCTAGGGACATCGCCTCACCCTCTGCAGCAATTTCATAACACACACTGTCACTTCGTGTGCTTGCAAGGGTTAAATGGGGGTGGGACACAGCAGGTACCTGACAGATGATCTGAGACCACCCCTCACCAGTGTGGAAGGCAGAGTTATTCATAACCTTACAAAGCACTGGAAGAAGCCTAAGCTGTTTACCAAGGATAGGTTTGGTGGTGCTCTCTGAGCTCTGGTCCAGCTCCCACAGAGAGCTGGAGTTTGAGGGGTGCCGTGTGTGTGTGTGTGTGTGTGTGTGTGTGTGTGTGTGTGTGTGTGTGTGTGTGTGTGTGTGTTCCTCCACATTGTAAGAAGAGGGCAGAAGAGGGCATTGCATTCTGTGAGATGGAAACCCCCTCAAGACAGTTACAAGAGGCTAAGTGACTCAATTCTGGGTGGCCTTTCAGAGAATGGAAACCAGTTCCTTCCAGATAACCTAACCAGTGTGTGCCAGCTACAGGGCATCATAGTTTCCAGAGCTTTGTACTCCCCAGCAGCAGACATTCGGAAGGGAGTCCTTGACTCCTGACCCCGCCCTGCCAAAAGACAGTGTCTTCTGTAAGGAACTGAACTTCCCAAGACCTACTTTCTGAAACAATGCAAGTGCAGGTACAGTGTGGGCTGGACTGTTTCCCTCCCCCAGAATGAGAATATGCTATGTCAGCAGGTAAGTACGGCGGTAGCAGCATGTAGTCAGGGCACACAATGTCTGTCTTCCATCTTTCACGGTGTGTCACCTCTGTGGACATGACACCTTCGATTCAACCCTTGTTTAAATCAAAGCCTCTTGACCTTTCACTTAAATAAAAGGCAATCACCGGGCTGTCACATTGTGAATAACAAATGGAACCATTATTTGAGAAGCTTCCCATTCTGAGGGACAGAGAGGCTGTTTTGGGGAAATCTATGGCGGAGGATAGTATAATTATAACCTGGGTTTGTGTGGCATTCAACCCCAGTCTTCTCAGAGCCCACTGTGGTTTTCTAGCAACCTTCCTCCAAAAAGAGACAGCCAACTAAGAAACGCATCAACAAGGTCCACTTCCTGCCAGATAAAAATAAGCTCCCGGACATCTAAAATCAGCACTTCCTAACAATAAAAACAAACCTGTCCATGACATCCGACCAAAGCATCAACATTTTTTAAAACTCTGTGGGTAAAACAAACCTGGCCTTTAACACGAGCTATGATCAGAAATCTCATGGAAAAGGACACGCCTCTGGTGGGGAAGTTTAGGGGCTTCTTGCTAAGTAGGGTCCATATTGCTAAGGCACTGGTGAAGACTGAATTGCTTGACCCAGAACACCAGAACCCCAGAACCCCAGAACGTGTGCTTGTTTGGAAATAACCTCTATGCAAGAGTGTGCAAGATGAGGTCACACTGAAGTGACAATGCCAAACCCTGATCCGTTGGGCTGTCATTGGAAAAGAGGGAAACAATTGTCAGGATAGAGACACAGAGGAGACCCCTGTATAAAGATGTAGCTGAGGTGAAAGAGTAGCTTCTACAAGTCGGGGGAGACCAGGAAGCCACTGTCCAGTCTTGGAGGGACAAGACCTGTTGTGGCTTTGTTCTCTGACTGCCAGCTACCAGACTAGCGGGAGCACCCACTCTATGACATTGTCTTAGTTAGGATTTCTATGGCTGTGACAAAAACACCACAACCATAAAGCAAGTTGAGGAGGAAAGGGTTAATGTGCCTTATGCTTCCAGATCATAGTCCATCAGAGGTCAGGACAGAAACTCAAGCAGAGCAGGATCCTGGAGGCAGGAGCTGATGCAGAGGCCATGGAGGGGTGCTGCTTACTGGCTTGCTCCCCATGGCTTGCTCAGTCTGCTTTCTTATAGAACCCAGGACCACCAGCCTAGGAACAGCACTACCCACCAGCAGCTGGGCCCTCCTCCATTGATCACTAAATGAGAAAGTGTCTTACAGCTGGATCTCATGGAGGCATCTCCTCAACTGAGGCTCCTTCCTCTCTGAGGACTCTAGCGTATGTCCAAGTTGACACACAAAGCCATAACTGGCCCCTTGTCAACTTGACTCAAACATATCGCTATTAAGCCACAAGCCTTCCTTTCTAATTCATCCCCAAGATCTCACATTAAAAACATAAATAACTTTTTTGGGGGGAGGGGGTTCGAGGCAGGGTTTCTCTGTGACTTTGGAGGCTGTCCTGTAACTACCTCTTGTAGACGAGGCTGGTCTCGAACTCACAGAGATCTGCCTGCATCTGCCTCCCGAGTGCTAGGTTTAAAAGCATTCGCCACCAACGTCCAGCAAAAACACAAATAACTTTAGAAGTACCATGGTCTTTGCAAATTCAAACACATTAAAATTTCAGTCCCTTTAAAATAACCAATCTCTTTTAAAACCCAAAGTCTTTTAAAATTCAAAAATCTCTCAACTGTGGGCTCCAGTAAAATACTTTATTTCAAGAGGGAAACATCAGGACACAGCCACAATCAAAGCAAAACCAAACCCCAACCACACAGTGCCTGGGATTTACTCACGGTCTTCTGGGCTGCTCCAAGGGGCTGGGTCTCTTCTCCAGCTCTGGCCTCTGCAGCTCACACAGCTTGTCCTCTAGGCTCCGGCTGGCTCCATGCCACTGCTGCTGCTGTCCTTGGTGCCCATCCTATGGCATCCCCAAAAGGCTGGGGTCTGGGAAGCGGGGGTGGGGGGCAGCCCTGAATAGGGGCTGTGGTGACCCAGCTGCGGTGGCTTCGGGACTGGTTAGAAACTACTGAAGTTCTGCGGGATCAAGTAGGGTTTTATAAGAACACAATGGATGAGGAAGAGAAAACCTACGGCGGCTGTGAAGGCCCTGAAACTGTGTATGTCAAGTTAATGTCTTCTGATAGCCACGAATTTATTGAGATAGAATGTGCATCAACATCGGGAGCAATAAGAGCCATGTTGAGTGGACCAGGGCAGTTTGCTGAGAACGAGAGCAATGAGGCCAACTTCAGAGAGATCCCTTCACACGTGCTAGTGAACACATGTGTGTGTTTTACCTACAAGGTCCGAGACACTAGCAGCTCCACAGAGCCTTCTGAATTCCCAATCGCACCTGAACTGCACTGGAACTGCCGATGGCTGCGAACCTCCTACGTTGTTAAATAAAATAAGTTGTAAGACCTCTGATTTTTTTCAGTATTTAATACCTGTGGTTCAGTTAGTGATCCCACACACACACACATACAGCATGTTGCCGATAGGAAATTGAACTCCAAAGTTAATTGCTGAGCAGATTCCCCGGCCACTTGCATAGCAGAGTTGAAATCTGTTTGCTACATTGACAAATTAAGGGCAAGGAATAAAGCCAAGAAATTAAACAAATAATGCCAGTTTGTAGGTGGCTTGTTTTCTCCTTTGGGTGTGACCTTTAAAATTATAAGTAATGTAGCAACCCCTGGAATGTAAATGTAAATGAACTTACTTAAATACAGGGGCTAAGTATTTTTATGGTTTTAGTGGGGTTTTTATTTGTTTTGTTATGTTTTGTTTTGTATTAAGAAACAGTTCTGAATTTACAGCCACTGAGCATGACTGGAGTTATGCAAATAATCCCATGAAAAAGAATGTTTATAACTTAGCCAAACCTTGATTTTTGCAACTCAAAGAATAAGAATCAAAATGTCTTATGTGTGTGTTTCTTTTTCAACGGTAGTATTGTTTAACAACAGCAACAAAAAACCATTCTGGGGTCTTCTGTTGCAACTGGGCCGAACATTCATCAATAGCCTCTCATAGGCTGTCTTCATGGTGCTGAACCTCAGCTTCTCTGCATGCACCCTTCAGTCCTGGGCCACTGAGGCTGCACCTTCACCAATGGCCTCTCAAGGGCCAAGCTCAGCTGCTCTCCGTGACCTTCATGCCTTCAAAACCAGTACCACCTGGGTGACTCTAACACATCACCAAGTCTGGCTGCCAACATGAGGTACAGCCTTGGCTGCCCCTGGAACACAGCTTCGCTGTGCTCTCAGAAAACACTTCCCGGAAGGTGATTACACCTCTGTGATGCTGCTCTCTTATTAATCACTGCTAATTTTCTTAGCTTCAGCTGACCAGCATCAAGTATCCCAGCAAAGGTTTCACTTAGTTGTGCTGGTCTCTTGTTAATCACAGCTGATTCTTCAGCCCCAGCTGACCAGAACCATGGAAATCTAATTCAAAATAACAAATGGCCCCGGTACAATCTTTAAACTTTCCTCTGAAACGTCGCAAGCCAGGCCTCCATCCTCTGCACACACTCTCTCAACATCCTTACCTTCCCAGTTCCCACGGAACTCGGAACTTAAAACTCAATGGTTCTTGGAGCCCAAAGTTCCAGAGTCCTTCCACAAGCCTCCCCAAACACGGTCAGGTCTGTCACCTCAGTACCCCACTACGCTGGTACCAATCTGTCTTAGGATTTCTATTGATGAGATGAGACACCATGAGCAAGAAGAAAGTTGGGGAGGAAAGGGTTTTTTTTGGCGGGGCTTACACTTCCGCATTGCTGTTCACCACTGACAGAAGTCAGGACAGGAACTCACACAGGGCAGGATCCTGGAGTCAGAAACTGATGCAGAGGCCATGGAGGGATGCTGCTTACTGACTTGCTCCCCATGGCTTGCTCAGTCTGCTTTCTTATGGAGCCCAGGACCACCAGTCCAGGGATAGCACCACCCACCATGGGCTGGGCTCTCCCCTATTGAGAAAACGCCTTACAGCTGGATCTCAAAGTGGTATCCCTCAGCTGAGGCCCCTTCCCCTGATGACACACAAAACCATCCAATGCAGACATGGTCAGGGAAGCCATGGGAAATGTGCACAGGCATGCGCATGAAAGTCCATGGACGTTCCTGGGCTCCAGTGAGGTGGAGAACAGCACATTGGACGGCCTTAGCAGAGTGGCCATGTGAGGAAGGAGGGGACACTTCTGCACCTGCACAGAGCAGGGCATTCTGTTTCCCCAGCTGGATGGCCAGCTCAACCCTGGAGAAAAAAAGCCTGCCCTTCAGGGGTGGGTGGCCCATTTCACCCTGGAGAGAATGGAAGAGTAAGTTCTATGACGATTCCATGACACAAGCATGTCCAAACTTTTTAGCTTTGTGACTCGTCCTGAGAACCAGGGAAGGAGGATGGACCACATGCGACTGATACTTCCAGTATTTCACACGATGGGGTTTGTTTTATTTTCTCACTAGTCAGGGAGAAGGGAGATTGGAGAGAAAGCTAATCAGATTCACTCTAGAACAGGAGTCCCAGGCATCCAAGGTTGACCTTGATCCTTCAGCCTCAGTTTCCTGGATTCTGGGTTGACAGTCACATGCCACCATGCCAGGTTTCTGCGGAGCTGGGGACTGTACCCAGAGCTGTATACATACGAGGCAGGCGCTTTGCCAACTACACAAGCCAAAGCAGTGCTTTCTTGTTGCAAAAATGAGTTTGACCTTGAGAACAACACTCAGTGAGACCGAAAGCCTGGTTGTTTGAAATGGTTTGGTTTTTGGCTTCTTAAGCAGCAAGATCTCTCAACTCTGTCCGTGTGATGAGGATGGGAAAACCCACAGGTGGGTCTGCAACGAGATCACTGAAGTAAAACCAAGCCACGAGATCTGGATTTGTTTCTCCTTTGCCATCTGCTGCGTGAACACTCTGCAGAGGGCTTAGCAGGGTCAGAAGTCCGTCATAAACAGGGATTTCCCTTGGTGCAAGGACAACACAAAGGCACCTGTCAGCGAGAGACTACACATGGTGAGCCATAAGCCAGACTCCGAGTTTCTAGCTCAAGTGGTCACTTGGGTGGACAGCTGCTGGCTGACCATGTTTGAACACTGTCACCCACAGCTCCCGAGTACTACCTGATAAGGCATGGCAGACTCTACAGAATTTACTGGAACACTACTACTGCCCACTGGGCTATTTATGGAGTTATTTTGCAGTGATAAAGGTTGGCTTCCCTGGAACATGATGTCACAAGAGCCATTGGGATCACCTAGCAACGGAACACAGCAACATGTCCAGCTCCTATTTATAACCAGCTTGCTGGCCATGCCAAGCTGAGCGGTTAGATCAACCAGAGAGCACAGGGTTATTTGACTCTTCTGGAAGCCACAGCTGTTACTAGAGCTGACAGAGGGTGCCGGAGCCCAAACTCTCAGCTGTCACACTTGGTCCTAAGTGTGTTCCACAGAACGGCCAGTTTGCTCACAACACCGCAGAGCATGGTTGCCTAGAAAAGCGGGGTCAGTAAGTCATTGCCAGCACTCATTCAGAACCAACTCAGGCAAGCTGGGCTCAAAGCCAGGTGCTGGTGTTGGGCACACTGACACAGAAGCCTGGTGGCCCAGAGTCCATGAGATCTTCCCTTTCCTCCAGCTATCCCAGGCACACTGTCCCCGGCAGATGACCAAGGAAGGAGCCCAGATGTCTCAAGGATAATCCGGGGAGACGAACACCACCTTCAGGTAGCCCGAGGCCCGCCTTGTCCTCTTACGCTTCATCCCTTCTTGCTGAAGAGGTCCTGAACTTAGCATCTCCCCACCTCTACTGAAAGGTAGCCTTTCTCGCCATCAGAACCAAAGGCCACTGATAGAGTTCCGATGTGATGTGTCTCCCATCTGTCATGAGTTTGAACTGTTGGGCTTCCGCTGGTGACATTGTTTTTTTGTGAGGCTGTGGAACCTTCTGGACATGAAGTGTCACTGGCAGACGGAGGGCTGTAGGGGCCAGCCTAAGGGCTGTAATCTGATTAGACACTGAGTCTTTAAATCAGCAGCCTCCACCCCTACCACCACAGCCACAAGCAGCTCTCAACACCCACTGGGCCCTCTGCACCGTGATGGTCTGAATCCTCTTAAACTATGGCCCAAATAAACCTCTCTTACGTTGCTTCTTTGAGGGGTACTTTTGTCATAGGAATGAGAAAAGGCTGGTATCTTACACCGCTCAGTCATCCGGATACTCTATAGTGAGGGCAAGGGTAATTTATTCAGGCATAAATGACCGTCGAGCTGGGGTGTGTATGACAGGGAAAGCAGTTAATATGCAATTATGGCAATTGCAGATATGAAATGTCATTTGCATCAGTACTTGATGACAGTCCCCCAGAACATCTTGGCTAATAACACTAACTGCATATGATGCTAGGGTGGTGCCATTCAACAAGACCATTGTCTTTTTTTATGCTAAGTATGAACTATACTCCATGCATTCATTGTCTGTGGGGGGAGGGTGCACTCACCATTTATACGTATGTGGAAGCCTGCAGTCAATGTCAGATGTCTTTATAGCTCTCCATCTACTTGCTTGTTTGTTTGCTTGTTGGGACAGGGTCTCACTCTACAGACCAGGCTGGCCCCAAACTCTCAGGGATCGCTACCTCCTGAGTGCTGGGATTAACAGTGTGCACCACCACATCCAAACCTCCGCCTCACTGAACCTAGAGCTCACTGCTTGGCTAGAATGGTTGGCCTTGGAGCCCCACTGATCCTGCTTGTCTCTAGTCCACTAGTACTAGGGTTACAGCGTGAGCTCCAGGACAGGTTCTAAAGCTCCAGAGAAACCCCGTCTGGAAAAACAAAACAAACCAAACAAACGTTGTGATAGGGATCCTGAAGTGTAGCGCTTCACAGTTGATGGCCTCTGGCAAGGGTCAGAGTAGGGAACGACTCATTTTTCTTCAAGGGGTTGGCCACTGGGAGTTTGGTCAAGCTCCGTGAGGTTCCAGGTTACTAATCTCACAACGCTCAGACCAGCCCTGCCCCCTCACTACAGGTTCCGGTGCTCTCGTTCTACTTTCACGGTTTCGTCTGATTCTCCACTCACTTCCTTTCCAACGCAGTTCTACTAAACAAAGCGTCGATCTGACCACAACTTTGCTTCCTAGCAGGCTCCGTAAACCGGACAATGTGCACAGCCTACTAAGGCCTGCCGCCCCGGTGGAGCGAGACACCAAGTGGACAAGGGCGCCACCTACAGATGATTCTGGGAAATGCCGTCGCTGCCTTCAGACCCTGCAGCAACCTCGCACTGGGGTGTGGCGGCGGCCTGAGGCTCCCATCCGCATCCGCAAGCTGGTTGGTCCCCGCAGGGCGCCCAGGGACATGCTGTGCCACACCTGCCCGCAGCGGCCAGCCAAGGGAATCAGAAAGCAGGCCTGCACGCCTCCGCGGGGAGTTGATGATCTGCAGGGACCGAATCTCCGCAAGTCACCCGCAACCCAGCTCAGACCGGCAGTCTAAAAAAGGTACTTCCTGGTGGCGGGAGTGTGACTCAGTTTCCCGGTGACTCAGCGCCACGAGTGTGCGGTGGTGCGGGTGTGCACGGCTATTCCGGGTGAGGCGGTGGATCGGCCTCCCTCGCGGGCCCGCGCAGCTCAGGAAGCGCAAGTGGGGTGCGAGAGGAAGCGCTCCCCACGCGGGGGCTGCGGGGAGGTGACTCAGCCGCGCCGCTCCGCCATGAGCCCCTATGCAAATGTGCGCAAACCACCGGGTCCCAGCGCGCGCTTGTCCCTGTGCTAGCAAAATGCAAGCACTCACTTCCCAACATCCTGCTTAAGTGGGCGCCGGAGACTTGGTCCCCGGGACACACTCCCGAGGCAGGTTCACGCATGCGACCGATTCCCCGCAGGGATTGCGGACCCACGCCCTATAGACCTGCTCTTCTCAGACAAGATGTCTTCCTGTATCCCTGGAGTTGGACGCAAACTCACAGACCTGACTAGCTGGCCCAGCCGTCCTGTTCATGGGACACAGTTACAACTTACATCAAAGGTTCATTGAGTTCTGAGGGCAGTGAGCTCCAGGTATGAGGACCAACAAGGAGCTGGTGAGAGCTGGGTTCACAGCGCACCAAACTGGCAACAGTACATGGAGCTCAGGAAGGAAATATGCCACCTCCCCTCCACCTTACAAAGTGTGCAAGTGTAAGGGCAACCCAGAGCGCGTTTCCCACGGCCTCGGAGTCTAAACATCCATCCTTAAATCTCTGAATGGAGCTGCCAAGTAACAGACACCAGGTCTCTGAGAGGAGCAAGGGCTGTTTCCCATTGCAATTCAAAGCCCAGAACGACCCTTCCACACTGCCAGAAACAGGAATTTAGTGTAAGTAACACCGGCACCAACGCTACATAGACAGAAAAAAAAATTGTTTTCTAGAAGTTATGTAGGATGGGGAGAAATTTTCCCCCTAATGTCTATAAAAATAACTTTACCTTGCTGGTGTGGCTCGCTGTGATGTTTAGGAAGGAAATGAAAGGAACCTGAGACGCCTAAGTTCATGGGAAAGTGGGTATCTTTCAGTGTGTGACCGTTCAACACTCTGTATGTGTGGCTTGGATCCATGTGACCCTAAGGAGGGGGTAGGTGGATTTTACTACTGTGTAAACTAAAAGGATACTGAACGAACATTAGATTAATTGATGACACCCACACATCCACAGCATGTGAAATTTTCTTCCCTGAAGCCAACAGAAGAGCCCCAAATGCAGCTAAGGTGGTCACAAAAAGGAGGACAAGGACCTCAGAGCATCACTTGAAGACAGATGTCCCAGATCTGGAGACAACAAAACCCCCACACTGAAAAGCCGCTTTGGGGGCAACTGAACAATTGTGGTAAGGTGGTCTTAAGTCCAAGAAAGTGAAATGCAGGTTTGCACCATGGGAATTAAATCACAGCGTCTGCAATCCGAGTACGAGTGAGGTCAAACAATGGGATCGTAGTCAAAGTAATTTCGACAAACCTGCCTGTAAAAATAAAATGCAGAAAAATGGTCCAGGCCTGGCGTGGAGGAAGAGTTGCTGTGTGATTCTCAGTTGTGGTGGCACGGAAGCAGGCAAGTACTTGATTTCATTTCCAGTGCAGCCCTCAGGCCTACCCCTTCCTGTTGTGTAGCTACATTTTTAATTCTGGTCTAATTTTCACGTCTGGCAAGTTGTGAGTTTGTTCTACAAGGACTTGATTTTCCACAGAGCCCTGTGAAGGGCAGGGTGTTGTTTCTTCCTACTTCTCCTCGTGCCTGGAACATGGCAAGCGTGCGGGACGTAAAGGATGGATAAGCGAATGGAAGAACAGATGGACGAATGGGCAATGGGTGGGCGCAGGTGTGGGCAGGTGGGTAATAGAAGCCTGGGTGGGTGGGCAAGTGGATGGGTGGGTGAATGGGCAGGTGGGTGGATAAGAGCCCAGGAAACAGATGGGAGCCAAAAGTGGAGGAATGCTAGATGAGGGAATATGGGCTGATCTTCCTCCTCTTCCTCTTCCTCCTCCTCCTCCTTCTTCTTCTCTTCCTCCCCCTCCTCCTCCCCCTCCTCCTCCTCCTTCCTCTTCCACTCCTCCTCTTCTTCCTCCTCCTCCTCCTCCTCTTCCTTCCTGTAAATTCCTCCTGGCATATGATTTTGGTTTGGGAAAAAAAACTTCAAATAAAAACGACCCAAATCATGCGATTCCCTAGGCTCTCTTATAATTCGTATGTGGAAGGGCATAGTGCTGGCATCGGAACACAGGCCCTCACCCCTGCCAGGCAAGCACACTGCTTCAGAACTGTGTCCCCAGCACTTAAGGCTTCAATGTAAACTGTGACTACAGCACAACACAGTGACCTTTGGAATCAGACACAGGATGAGCAGTTAAGTTCAAGCACTTGAGGGTTCTGGTAGGAAGTTGACAGGGCCACCAACTTAACACAGGCAATACGTGTTGCTTGTAGTAACGGCCAAGACAGGCAGATGTCTGAGAAGAGCCAGCAGCACAGTGATAGGGAGACAGAAAACTCCTGGAATAGTCCAAAACTAAATCAGAGATGTGCAGTGTACTCGAGCAGCAGAAAAGTGTGAGACATTTCACACCTTACCTCCTAAGCGCCTCAGCAGAGAAGAGAGCAAGTCCCCTTTCTTCCTGTTATAACCTGTTTCTGCCTAGCTACCTCATTTCTTGTCTGTCTGTACAGACCTCCAGATCTCTATGGTTACCAAGTGGCAAGTTCCATTCTCTGACCCCCAGACAGGTTTTATTAGTTCAAGCAAGATCTTACTACAGATGAGGGCTCCGAATTCTGGTTTTTCAGGAAAGATACAATAAACACATTTTCAGCTAGTGTGAAATCAGGACCACCCTTCCCAGTGGACCTACTCTGAAGGAAGCCCTTAAGATATTAAGAAAGAAAGAAAGAGAGAGAGAGAGAGAGAGAGAGAGAGAGAGAGAGAGAGAGAGAGAACGAAAGAAAGAAAGAAAGAAGGAAGGAAGGAAGGAAGGAAGGAAGGAAGGAAGGAAGGAAGGAAGCTGGGAGATGGTGGAGCACACCCAAACCCAGCACTCTCGAAGCAGAGGCCCACGGATCTTTGAGTTCAAACTAGTTCCAGGACAGCCTCAAAAGCCACAGAGAAACCTTGTCTCTAACTCCCCCAAAAAAGGATTGTTCTAGAAATAAACAAATTCTGGGGAATTTAAGTTTATTCTTCAGGTGGGGTGGGTCACTCCTGCATCCCAGCACTTGGGAGGCTGAGATAGAAGAACTTCATTTTAAGAAACTTGTTGAGTTCTGGACCAGCCTGGGGTACACGGTGAGACTCCCCCCACCTCAAAAGAAACCAAAAAACAACAAAACCCTAGTCTCTACTTCTAGTTTTAAAATGCATCAATATATCAACACGAGTTAAAACAGCATACCGGAAATGTCACAAAAACAGGAAAGAAGAATTAAATCTCAGAGGTGGCAAATAAAAAGTAAACAAAAGCTGAGACACAAATCCAAATATAACAATAATTAAACATAAAAGCGGTCTATCACATCAGTGAAGACAAAGATTGCCAGAACAGATTTGGAAAACATGATATGGCCATATGTTGTCTACAAGAATCTCACTTCAAATACAAATGGTGTGGTCAGGATTAGAAAGAAAGAAAGAAAGAAAGAAAGAAAGAAAGAAAGAAAGAAAGAAAGAAAGAAAGAAAGAAAGAAAGAAAGAAAGAAAGAACAGGAAAGCTACCCCAGTAAAATGCTGATCCAAATAAAAGGTGGCTGTATCAATATCAAGCAGAGTAGACTTCTGAGAAAAAATAATTATGAGACATGAAGCGGAGCAGGGAGCCATGAGAAACGTCAGCTCAACAGAGAGGCTGGGACATTGAGAGTGTGCCTGCTCAGCGTTATGAGGGGCTGGAAAGAGTAGGGACCATTTCAACATCCCCACTCCAGAGACACCATCTCTCATCTCCAGATATGATGCAACCGGAGGAGAAAAAATTAACAAGGCTGTAAAAGACGGATCCCAACAGAAATGTATGCAACCATGGGTCCAACACTAATTGGACCCATGTCTTCAACTGCACAAAGCACATTCACCAAGAAAGAACATACCCTGGGTTATAAAGGGAACTTGATCAAATGTAAAGCCATGGAAGTCAGAGGTTGTTTATTCTGTGGTCAGAATGAAATCATCGTGGAACCAGATATAAGAACAAGAGCTCTCACAGGAGGCCCCGCCAAGCCTGGAGACCAACAACACATTCTCAAATAAACCATAGATGAAAGCAAATGAGCTATTGCTTTGGGCTGGATGTAAATGGAATAGCCGAGCAACAAAACTTATGAGAGCTGCCTGTCAACACCCAGAGAGGTAGTTAGAACAGCCAACGCATACATTAAAGCAGGAAGTCCCAAACTGTTCATCTAAGCTTCCAGTGGAAAAAGCCTGAAAACAAGCAGAATAAACCCAAAATAAGAGCATGAAAGGAAATAATAAAGACAAGAGAAAAATTCATAGAAAAATATTTCAAATCAGGATCCCACTCTGTAGCTCAAGCAGGACCTGAGCTCACAATCCCCTTGTCTCAACCTCCCTGGTGTTAGGGTCAACAGGAATGTGCCATAGTGCCTAGTGAATCAATGGAATTGAAAGCCAGAAAAAAAAATCCACAAAACGACAAAAACTCATTCATTAAAAAAAAAGTCAATATTGACACTGACAAAGAATGGAAATGTTAAAATCTTTGATATTGAGGAGTAAATAAAGGTCATCACTGTGGCCTCCACAGACAAGCTGGTGGGGGAATTCTATAAACGTCTCCATACAGACAATCCATTAATTCAGGAGGGACTGCCTTGTGAAGAAAGGAAAATTCCCTATGCCACCAGAGATAAACAGAGAGCCTGAATTGTCCTGCAAACATTTAAAATTGAATTCGCCATTGGAAAGCTTTCAAAAAAGGCATTTGCAGACTCCAGACGGTTTCCTTGGCAAACTCTTCTGAACATCCCAAGATGAAACAGCACCAGCTCTGCTCGGTCTCCTCCAGAAAACAGAAAAGGGAACATTGTGTTTTGTAATTGGCGTTCTCTGATACATAAACCAGACTAAGGGCCGATGAGATGGCTCAGCAGGTAAAGGCGCTTGCTACCAAGCCTGGCAACCTGAGTTCAAAGCCCAGAACCCCATGTGGTGTAAGGAAAGAATGACTCAAGTTGTCTTTCTAGCCGGGCATTGGTGGCACACGCCTTCAATCCCAGCACTCGGTAGGCAGAGGCAGGCGGGTCTCTGTGAGTTCGAGACCAGCCTGGTCTATAAGAGCGAGTTCCAGGAAAGCCTCCAAAGCTACACAGAAAAAAGAAAAAAAAAGTTGTCCTTTGTAGGCCTGCCAGGGTACACGCACATGTACACAACACACAACAAGAAAGTCAATTTAACCAGACCATGATAGTACAAGAAAAAAGCTGAACGCAGTTTTCCTAAGTAGCATACACAAAAAAGAAGTTAATAAAAGATTAACACACAAAATGTCTGACATATAAAAGGAATAACATGCTATGAGTGGACCTCATCATGGAAATACAAAACTGGTTCAGTAGTCAACTGTCCATCACTGTCATCAATCATGGGAACTTAAGTCTAAAGAGAAAAACAAAATTACCACCCACTCGTGATCAGTGTGTTCAGGGACAAAAGCATCCATAGAGAAAAGCCCCACAGTCAACACAGTTTAGTGACTCTTTGACTTAACGCTTTTTTCTCACTATTGCCACATGGCAATCAATCAATCAATCAATCAATCAACTAACCAGCAACCAACCAATCAACCAACCAATCAATCAATCAATAGGAAGAGAAGAAGAATGTGGAAATGAAGAAATTAAATTTTCCTTATTTCCAGACAACAAAATTGCCTCTGTAATCTTAATAAAAACAGAAAAGAAAGTTCTTCAAGAACTATAAAGTGAATTTAACAAGATCATAGACCCCACGGTCAATGCCCAAAAGTCAATCCCACTCCCAGGGATGGAGCATCTACAGTCAAAACCCAAACTTTTCTTTTTCTTCGAGACAGGGTTTCCCTGTGTAGCTTTGGAGCCTGTCCTGGAACTCGATCTTGCAGACCAGGCTGGTTTTGAACTCACAGAGATCAGCATGTCTCTGCATCACGAGTGCTGGGATTAAAGGCGTGTGCCACCACCAGCCCAGCCAAAATCCAGATGCCCAGATGCTGTTTACAACAGCTCAAAAAACAGTGATTTAAATCTGATGACGCCCATCCAGTATTTGTACACTAACAGTTATAAAATGATGGTGAGGAAAAAAAAAACCAAATACATTGAAGACCAAAGATAAATCTTCTTTTAAGATATAAAAAAATTAGCAGGGCATGGGAGCACACACCTTTAATCCCAACACTCCGGAGGCAGAGGCTGGTATATCTTTGTGGGTTCGAGGTCAGCCTGGTCAACAGGGCAAGTTCCAGGACAGCCAGGGCTACACAGAGAAACCCTGTCTCAGAAAACCAAGTTATATATATTTCAGCCAATGTGGTGACTCTGAGTAGCCCAAATGGACTAAGAGTAGGTGCGACTCCAGTCAGAGCACCAGTGAGTGTTTCATGGATCTGAGCAAAGCCGCATCCCAAGTTACAGCTAAACCACTCTGGGAAACCTATACAAGGTAAGAGAACATTCTGGAACTGCCTTTGAGATTTTCTTCAGGACCTGGAGAGATGGCTCTGTGGTGAAGAGCACATGATGCCCTTGTAGGATGTGGTGGCTCACATCATCCATAACTCCAGTCCCAAGGGATTCAATGCCTTCTTCTGGCATCCAAAGGCACAGGCACACGTGCGATGCATGTACATACATGCAGTCAAGTCACTCACACATACATTTTATTTTTATTTTTTACTTTTTACTTTTTTTTTTGAGACAGGGTTTTCTCTGTATTGTTTTGGACCCTGTCCTGGAACTTGCTCTGTAGACCAGGCTGGTCTCGAACTCACAGAGACCTGCCTGCCTCTGCCCCCACCCCCCACCCCCCCCACCCCCGAGTGCTAGGCGCCACCAACACTTGGCTCACATTTTATTTTTAAAGCGAAGTCAAGACAACCTGGTATGGACTCATGTAGGTGGGTGAAACAGACCAAATAATCCCCAAGATAAACTCACATGGTTGGCTAGTTAAATTAC